TCATCTATGCCAAGAAATCTGGAAGATAGCTCCCTGGCCAACTGATTGAACGAGGCCCACATCTGTGCCCAATCCTAATAAATGTGACTCAACAGAATGCAGAAAACATTGAACAAAATCATTAATATCAATGCAAGTAAAATGGTTGCAACAGTACATGGACAGGAGACTTTCAGAAATTCAAGCTTGATTCAGAAGAGGATGCATAACTAGAGCGATTATTGGCTGACATTAGATGGATCTTAATTGAAAGCAGAGAATACTAAAAGAGTATTTATTCATGTTTATTGACTATGCAAAGGCTGTCAACTGTGTGGATAATGACAAACTATGGATAGTATTATGAAGGATGGGTATTCCAGAACATTGTGCTCACCATTAACCTGTACAAGACCAAGAGGCAGCCATTAGAACAGAACAATTGGATACTGAATGGTTTAAAATCAAGAAACTTGTGTGCCATGGTTCTATCCTTTCACCATATTCATTCAATCTGTATGCTGAGCAAATAATTTGAGAAACTGGATTATATAATGAACAATGTGGCTTTATTTATTTATTTTGTTTGTTTGTTTGTTGGATGTATGGGGTGGGGTGAGGGGAGGGAGGGGAAGGTTGAGCACAGGGTAGGGAATAGGCACAGGATAGTGGAGCACACGGAATGGAATAGGCACAGGATAGTTTGGGTGCTGGTGGGGCATACACTAGATGGGGAAGGGGAAAGGAAAAACAAAGTGGATGGGAGAATAGCTAGTCAGGTTTACATGGGCTAAATAAGACAGAGGTAAATAACAATGTAAGCACAATTGTGGAACAACAGGGCTCTTGGATACAAAGATTGAGGCATGGTTTACATGGGTAAAAGTGGGGAAATGATGTTAAGATGCTTGGCTGTCTTTTGAATCTTGGTTTCCTTTGCCTACTATTGTAAAACAGATACTTGAAGGAAAGAGACAGGAATAGACAAAAGCATCACCAGAGAAAGCTTTTAAGTCCATCTTCAGCCTCTAACTGATTGAAATACCTAAAATGGGGCTAGAACTTGCCCAGTGAAGAAGGCTCTCTGCAGAGCCTTTGCACTGCACAAGACCATAGATGGAATCCTGATACCCTATCCAGAATCTTCTGAGGTAGGAAATTTCCACTTGAAAGGACAAGCAGATCAATCGGGAGCAGCTAGAAAAACAGAAGATACTTCTTGAAAGAAAGACGAGAAGAAAAAAAAACAATAGCAGCAGTCCAATTAACTACTACAAGAACAAGCAAGTTGTTCCCTAGGGAGTCATCAAGGCAAATGGTCAGGTCCCCTCAAGGCAAACCCCCTTTCAAGACTGAAATTCAATTGGAATACACTAGCAGGCATATGGCCCTGCTGCTGACCAAGTTGGTCACTGATAAGGGGAGAGGGGGAAAAACAGTAATGAAGTTGTTAACTAAGTCCTACTACTACATCCAATAGATTCCTATTAAAGTGGATTGAGACCTGATTAACCAGCAGTATGACAAGACCTGGAGACTCCTGGGCCCTGGGGCAGGGACATGGCCCCAGAGGACTAGAACAGAGTGTGAATCATCCAGCTGATATGAAGTGAGGGGAGATGCACAAGAACACCCACACTTGCAGATAGTACCCATTTGACCTGGCATCAATGACTGGATGATCAGAACACGACTAAACAGGTTTAAAGAAGAGGAAAAAACAAAAGAAAGAGTAACCCACTACAAGTGGATGAACTTGGCCTATGCTTGTTCATGCATTATGACAAAGTAGCAGGCAAATCTCTAAAGTGAGGATCATTCCTAGTCCCTTGGTACATAGGATCGACAGGGATGGGGAACTTAAGACATTGGCTACCCAAAATGGGGGGACTACAAAGGCAAGAAAGTGACTGGCTTACAAGTTTTCAATAGGGAACCTAGCTCCAGACCTACAGGGAAACACTGAATTGTTTCCAACCTGTCTGGATGGGGTTAATAAAAGGTGAGGGGGAAAGGACTCCTGTGGTTCAACAGGGAATGATTGCCATCAGGTCTGACAGTGAGTGTTGGAAAGGTAAATGTAAATGTTTGGTAACAAAAGGAGGGGAGTGGCTGATTATGCAGTCAGTAGATCCCTGGAACCATCAAGGGAGAAATACGAAGTATGAGACCCTGTCCAAAGAGGAAGTGACACTAGGGATGGAGAACACTCAATTCACAATAAAAACTTAAAAAAATAATAATAACATGATAGACATAGAAAAGATTCAGGTTGCGAAAGACTTCATTTTGCTTCGATCCATAATCAGTACTCACAGAAGCAGCAGTCAAGAAATCAAACAACATGTTGCATTAAACAAATCTGCTGTGGCGAGACTTCTTTAAAATGTTCAAAAGCAAGTATATCAGTTTGAGGACTAAGGTGTGCCTTACTCAAGTCCTGTTATTTTCAATCACGTCATGTGAAATTTGTACAATGAATAAGGAAGATCCTAGATGAATTGATGCCTTTGAATTATGGTAATAGAGAAAAACACTCAAAGTACCATGAACTGCCAAAAAGAACAAATAAATCGTGTTGGAAGTAGTACAGCCAGAATGTTCCTTAGAAGCCTGGATGACAAGTTTCTCTCATGCTTTGAATGCTATCAGAAGGGACTGGTCCCTGGAGAAGAATATCATGCTTAGAAAAGTGGATGCTCTGTGAAAAAGAGGGAGACTCTCAATGAGATGTACTGACACAGTGGCATCAGCAATGGGCTCAAAGGTAACAACAATTATGAGGATGGTACAGGACAGGGCAGTGTTTTGTACAGGATCTGTATGAGTTGGAATCGACTCAATTGCACCTCCCAGAAACATTAACAACAGGCACCAGAAGTTCAATATTTGCTCTAAAGTCAAGATGACAAGGTAAGGGTAAGTTTGAATGTGTGTGGAGGGCAGGGAAACTTACTGGAAGACTAACGGAAATAGACCAATCAATAAAGAAATAATGACATGCTGTCACATTATTAAAAAACGTAACCAATGTCCCTGAGCAATATGTATGGAAATCATTAAATGGGAACCTCTTTGTTGTGTAAACTTTCATCAAAAACATAATAAAATATGTCAAATCATGTCCCACAAAATTATGTGTCAACTTGGGTAGGCCAGGATTCTCAGTACTGTATGATTAACCTCTGCCTGTGCTTACTGAGGCCAAACTAGGTAACTTTAAAGATTAGGTTATATTTGTTATGCTACGAAGGCAGGATTAGGGTGAGCTGAAGGAGTCGGTGTGGTGCTGTGGAATAAGCGCTAGACTGCTAACCTCAAGGTGAGTAGTTCAAACCTACCAGCTGCTCCTGGAAAACACTCTGCAGTGAGGGTGAGGCACATCACTGAACACATCGCCACCCTCACACTCAGAAGTGTCTGATATCAGGGAGTTTTCCTGGGCTGTGGCCTGGCAGCTGCTGTTATCTCACAAGACATAAAAAGAGGAAGAACTAGGAGTGAGAAAGGGACCCGACTATCCCTGAGCTGGACCCAGCTTCTCTGTACTGAGAACCTGCTACACCCATGATGTCAAGACTCATGGAGGTCTCCAAGGAACGCCAGAACCACAGATGTAGAAAGGAGGTGAGGAACTTCCTCCAGAACCAACAAAAAGAAAATACTTTTTCCTAGAGCTGATACTCTCACTTCAGACTTCTAATCTCCTAAATGGATAGAGAATACATTTCTGTTAAGATATACTCTTGTATTTCTGTTATAGTAGCACAAGATAACTAAAACATATGCTATTAAAAAATAAACATATTTCACAGTAGAAACAGGGCTTTATCCTCTCTCACAGACTTAAAAATAAAACTGCTGAAGGACTTTAAGATAAATAATAACTTTAATCATGAGATTCAAAGACTCACAGTGTTTCTTAATCTAGGCAAATGTGCCATCTTTTAATTACCTTGCTTGGGGAAACAATTAACCAGTGAAAGTCCGGAAGGTCTTTTAGATGAATTCAGAGTACTAAACTTGATCATTTGTAGTAGATGGAAATAATAGTAAGCAAATATGAAATTCTATTGTTATAAATCCCTTTACATTTTTTAATTAATATAACTTTAAGAATGTTCCAACAAACTGGAAATTACATATATATATATATAAAACCAAACTGTAATCTAAAAATGGTATGTCTTAATAAAAATTTCTGCTTGACTTATATTATATAGATCAAACTCACTGCCACCATCATGCATTTGTCAGTTTACAAGTAAAGCTACATTCCTGAGCTTCGTAAGTATCAGCAATTAAATACGTCAAGTGGCACATCACTGTATACATGCTGAGTATATAGATTAAGAATTAATAGGTTTTATAAAAAGATTTAATAGATTAATACATAACAGAGATAGAAGCAATTATAGGTAAATGTGTATATATGGATTAACGTGTGCATGTGTGTGTGTATCCGTGCATATACTGCCTAGCTCTGTTCACTGAGAGGGCCTAGAAGCAATGATACCCCAGCAGCAATGACCACACCCAGCACCCAGATCTTGGTTTTTAAATACCATTATTCAATTAAAGGTACCAAGGTTCCTTGGAGGAATGATTGATTCATGAGTTGACGCAGAAAATACAAAAGATAAATTTGGTGGTGCTGTAGAACCAGAACTGGACTGTAAATCATAAGATCAGTAGTTCAAACCCACCAGCTGTTTCTCAGAAATTCTATACAGGGAACTGACTCAACAGCACTTAACAACAACAAAGGTAAGAAAATGCTCAAACTTGCATTTTTAACTTTAAATTGTTTTTTATGGCAGGAGAATTGCTGCTAAAGAAATCATGGAAACCTTACTATAATTAAATGTATTTTTCATTTGTGAATAATGACTATTCATACTTTCCTTCTGCTACCCCAAAAACAAACTACCTTGCATTCCTAATCTAAAAGTTGCACAGAGTAGGGGGGACACATTTAAAAGGCAAATCAGTTAGGGGTTAGTCACAAAACTAAATCATACCGTGCAAAATTCAAACTTTTTACCAGTTCGTCTAGTACGCGGTTATTTTTCAGGTCTGCTTCTGTGACTGTCTAAAAAAAAAAAAAAAAAGTGGAAAATGGTCAGACACAATAATTTACTTGTCACAGTCTTGTTTTTGAAAATCTGTGATCTATCCTCCCAGAATTCCTCAACCCACTAAGTCTTCCAGGAAAGCCTCAAAAGAATGTACTCTCATCTCATACCAGTACAGAATTTTAAAACAATGAATCTGCTGCGTGAAAGCCTGGCAAAAGATCTCTAAAGCATCTGGTAAAATCATATACTCTATACTGACTGAGATTAAAACCTAATATGGACAAGAATTCTTCTTCAAAGTGTCAGCTTTGTTTTCCCAAAAATGTCTCCTGAAAAGCAGAAGAGAGCTACTTTTTGAAGTAATAACAATAGAAGAGTCACTAAATATCTAAAGAGTTTAAAAATAAAACTGGATTTCAGGAATGCAGAGAGAAGTGATCAATCATTCAGCAGGACTAGTGGGCAGTTTATACCAGTGATGACACCATCTTGACAAGGGCAGTGCACCACAGAGGCAAAGAGCTCACACTTAGGAGCCAAACAGCACCATTTCTTACATAAGGAAACTGTTCAGAGAAGTTCAATAACTTGAATGTGCCCAAACTAGAACCCAAACCCTGTAACTAATCCTAGCGACCTAACTGACACTCTTTTTTCTTTACTCCCATATGTTTAGTTTTCCTTTTGAGTCTACCTTTCCATCTATTCCATGGTGACCCCATGTGTGCCATAGTAGAACTGTGCACCACAGATTTTCAACAGCTGACTTTACAGAAGACATTCAGGCCTTTCTTCTGAGGAATCTCTGAGTGGACTTGAATGTCCAATATTATTGTTAGTAATGAGCATGTGAACTATTGGTACCGTCCAGGATTCCTTTTTGTATGAAGCACCAAATTTGTTAAGGTAAACAAACAAACAAAAAATAACAAATAAAAAGAGAAGAAAAAACTCACCACACAGCAAGTTGGGCATTGAGTTTTATAGGACAGAAATTTTCTTATACAGAGAGAACAGTCTGTAAAAACACAAATGCAACAGAATAAATTAATTCAGGCATATAAATAAAGGAATCTGACTTCTAATAAAATCTGACATATCACTATCTTTAATTAGTGATCCTTAACGCAGGGCATTTTGAAAGCTGATGGATTTGTCCACAATTTAAGACAGACCACTATAATCTCAAATTTCTACTCTATTCACACTTACAAGTCTAACTATATACATTCTTAGGAAACAGCATGTGAAAAGTTTAGAAACACAGGCCACATTGCCCACACAAGACCACCCTCACTTCTGACATCAGTTGTAAGTTTGGGGGTTCCCAAGAGAGCACTATAGAATAAGCACTCGATCTCAAAGTCAGTTTGAACCCTAAGGTTGACAGTTCGAGCCCACCAGCTGCTTCTCGGTAACCCTACATGAGGTGGCTATGAGTTAGAACCATTTCAACAGCACTTAACAACAAGACACTCTGGGGAGTATGGTGGCTCCATACAATAAGCACTGGACTGCAAACCACAAGGTCCACGGTTCAAGCCTGCCAGTTGCTCAACAGGAGACAGGTGAGGCTTTCTGCTCCTTCAAAGATTTTTAAAAACTTGGAAACTACATACAGGGTCACTTTGAGTCAGAACCAACTCAATGGCACTTAATAACAAGACATCCTTACATTCAGTGATTCACTTTCTAGAACTCACATAATTCACTGAAATTACTCTCCTGGAACTGATGTGTGCCAATACGCAAAAAAGAAAAAAAACAACACAAAAACTTTTCTTAACCCTCAAAAGTTATTTTGAATACTATCAAGCAGGGAAGTTCACCCAAGTTTTGATGTCCAGAGGCTTTATTGGGGCTCCATCTCGTGGATACAGCTGAATAGCTACCTAGCTAATCTCAGTTTCAAGCTCCTCAGGAAATCCGGCTGCATGACTCTAAACCAACACCCCACATCACAATGCTGGTATGGCTCAGAATCCCCACCTTAAATCACTGTTACAATCTGACAGCCCCCCAGGCAAACAAAGGAGTTCCTCTCAATCCTGACAGTCCAAGGGTTTAGAAATGATTTCCTGGAAGTCCAGGACAAGGACCAGATCTCAGTTTGTGCAAGAGTGAAATCTGTAAAAACATATCAAAGATATAACAGTCATAGGCCCTAGATTGTCACAACTTCATAAACATGCACCACTCTCAGTATCGTCTGTCTGTAAAATGTAGACAGTACATACACTTGCAAGACCTGTACTGGGTACTGTATAAACACATCTTAGATAATTCTACTTACTAAAATTTAAAATATAAATTTTGAAATAAGATATATATACATTAAAAACAATATGCATCCAAATGATCTAATTAGGGATTTTCACAGACTAACCTTGCTTTTTGCTGACTGGGCCCTATAACTGACTCATCATCTGACCTCTGGTTCTTTGGCCTTGAGTCAGCAGCCTGCCATACTGCCTGCTGATCCTGGGAGTTTTTAGCCTTAGCAGCCTATGAGTCAGCAGCCTGCCATCTTACCTGCTACCTTGGATTAATTTGCCTCCAAAGCCAGCAGTCCACCGTCTGACCTATCATCAGCCCCTGCAGCTACATAAGTCTTATAGCTGACCTACAGACTTTGAACTTGCACCTCTACAATCACATGAGCCATTTATTTGAGGTATCATATATCTATCCATTAAACTATCTATGGAGTCCTGGTGTGGTGCTGTGGGTTAATGCGCTGGACAGCAAGGTTGATTTGAACCACAAGGTCAGCGGTTCAAAGTCACCAGCCACTCCTTGGAAACCCTATACAGTATCACTATGAGTCGGAACTGACTCGATGGCACTTCACACCAACAACAGTCTTGCTTCTCTAGAGAACCAACCTAAACCTGCAGGGAACAAATCTGTTAATCAGGATTATCTCCAGAGGACTCTCAGAGGGTTTGCCCTTTTCTTTCCTCCAGTACTAGGAATCAATGTGGGTATACTCTCTTTTTTCTAAACATACAATTGAGTCATTTAAAGAGGGCAACTTGGATAAACAGCATGGATGAAAGGCAGTAAAAGCAAGTAGACTGACAGTTGAATATTGTAATTACATTAACAGTTTTATGGGTTCAGTTTGAGGGTGGCTTTTTTTTTAACTATAGAGGAAATAAACGATGAGCCAAAAAATGACATGAATCCTGAAAAAGATAATTAAGCTTAAGTTCCTTTAAGAAGAAAAAAGTAGCTCGTTTTTAAAATGAGAAAGTTGAGATCAAGTAAATGTAGCGAGGTTATGGCCACAGTGCTAGTCTAATAGCAGATTCCGGAATTGAAACTCAATCTTTCTATGAAATAGTATGCAATTTTTCAATGTTATGAAATTTGCATGCACAAACTTGAATTAGTGTAGGTTTTTGCTATGTATATTTGCAACAACAAAAATGAAATAAATGAATTATTAAAAAAAAAAACACCACACACACACACTCATTCTCTGGACTATGAATGTCTTTGCTATAAGCTGTTCTCTGGGAAATCTGTAGATCTATTATTATTAACCAGGCTGCTCATCCAAATCAGCTAAACAGATTGTTCTTTTAGTTTCCCAAGCTCTAAATGTGCTGGACAGCAAGGTTGGTTTGAACCGCAGGGTCAGCAGTTCAAACACTCCTCTGAAACCCTATACAAGGTTGCTCTGAGCCGGGACTGACTTAACAACACTTAACAACAATCCCATTGTACTGATTCAATGGCTTTTCATCAGCAAATCACATTCATAACATTTTATTGACTCAACACAATAATCATTTTTTAGGAAAAAATAAATAAATAACACCTGTCATTATTACATTGAACCATATGAAATTACATTTTTGATTAAGTTCAAAAAGGTCAAATATTGGCAAATTCATATGGTTCAATCTAGTGCTTACTGTGTTCTCTGTTCTTTTGATCCTCACAGAAACATTGAACCTGGAAGTAGCATAAATCCCAATTTACAAGTGGGAAACTGAGGCACAGGGCTCCCCCAAGATCATAGGCAGCAAAGACCGCATTCAGCCTCAAGGCCCCAACTTTTAACATATTAATGTATTAATTATTATAACTATTTAGCATTTGTCTGAAATAGGGAACTAGAGGTATACTGGAAGACAGGCTTGGCCTTGGCGACCTGCTTCCAGATCCTCAG